TCGAACTCGCCGGGGGTGGAGTCGGCGGCGGGAACACGGATCTGTGCCTTCAGTATCTCGTGACCGGATCGGCGACCGGCCTCTCGGTTCAGCATCACCAGCACGCCGCGACCGCGAGCTCCGCGATGGCCGGCCTCCACGGCGACCATTTCCAAGGGACGATGCACCATCCGGACCAGCACGGAAACTCGCACCACGACACGTCCATGCCGCACATCTCCCCGCATCAGTTACACGAACCGATGGAAAAGCTTAAACGTCGTGAGTCGGTCACAATAACTTTGGACAGATCTACTTTCCTTTGATCCTCTTTCTTGGGATGCTCCCTGTACTCAGGGGGATGAGGGTGGGTGAGGATTTTGTTAGTTTCCACCGGTCTGCGGGTGAAGTTTCTCTGTGACACTTTAACACGTTGACTGTTGAAACAGTTCTCGTGAAAACTAAATACAGTTGAACGTATTTTCTCGAGGAAATGGAAGATAAATGAGAGGACGATTCGTGGCAGTAGTTCACATTGTCGCATCGCGAGATTGTAAAGTGTTTCGTTAAAATTAAAATGACACTGCAATCAACGTGTTAATTGAGTTAGGCACACGAGGGTCAGGTATATTCACTTTTGTTTGGGGGTCGTGAGTTCAAGTAGTGATGCAGGTGATATGGAAGTTTTCACTTTAATCGATCCGCTTTTGTTGCTAGCTTTGTGAGAAGTAATGAAGTTACTTTGCTTGATGTAGATGATAGGATATTCGGTTCATAGTGCCTTCAACCGGAACGATAAAGGGAAACTTTATTTCAGTTGAAAGTGTTTCTTGTACACGCTTTGTCTTGAACCCTATTAGTTTATAGTTGCTAGGATTTTACCATGGATGTGTACAGGGGCGAATGTTGACACTTGAAAATATTGTTATGATAAAATGATAGATTCGTGAAAGAAAGATACACTTCAAGCAAGATAGGTTAAAGTGACCAACAGAATTCGTAATTGATAAATTATCTTCCTTCGTGGGGCTTTAAAAATCAACTAACAAAATCGATCATTCACTGTTCGAATTTATTCACGCTGATCCACTTACGGATCAAGTTTTCATACAACTGAAATGTTCACAGTTAGCTTAAACGATATTTTAATCTTTCCACGTTCACTCGCACTTCCGGAATCCGCAGTATGCTGTGAATCACCGAGTAAGATCCATTATTTTAATCTATTATCGTTGATCATAATTTAATCGAATGGTCAGGCTACGTTTGCGCGATGAAAATTCGCGAGAAATTACATTAGCGCGGCTTACATGTGTCACAAGCGTAATTACCTTATTTGGTGTCTCAATCGAGAGGAGATACTGAGAATCATTGCTTTCTCCTTCCCGATAAACGGCGTGTACGAGGCTTGTCAATTCGTGTGATTTCGTTTGCCGCGATATTATCAATTCCGTCCGTTCGACCGACAAACACCCGCCGCATTCTCGCGCCGAAATCATGCATTGCGTCGTTCACCGTTATCGCCGCATCTTTTCAGAAATCTCCTATCAATTGACGCAGCAAAATTTTGCGCGCATCGCGAACATCGGAGTCACGTTTTGCTTTGTTCCGAGCCTTGACCCACGATCACTGTTTCAACAACTACGTCTTCATGAATTTTCAAGCGTATGAAAACTAATATTAACTATATCATAGTCTCGTAATAATTAATGACAAAGTACACTGATTTGTTCCATTTAAACTAAATAGGAACAAAGACTTCTCGCACTTTAACTAATATCAAATAATCAACAGTGTCTTCTAAAAATAAGTTCAATGAGACAAACTCCAATCTCCTAGAGTAATTATTATCTTCACAATTTGCAATTGAATGTTCTTTTAGACGGGCTTCTATTCTCAGAATTGTTTAATTTATTAAGCCTATTTTACTCAAGGACATCGCATATAATCACCTGTCTTTGGAATGTCGAACAAGTTGCAAACGACTTGAATGTTTAATATCAGTAATTGGAATTCGGTAATTATCTTGGTATCTCTGCTTGATAACAATTAGGTATGCTCGATTAACCTCATATAGTTGAGCTGTGTTGTTCCTCGAATTGAAATGTTTCTTCAAATTAATGGCCAGGTATTTTGTGCGCAGTTTTATGTAGATTGCTTAAGAGTTACGAATAGAACTGACACGGTGTTGCTACGATATTAACTCAGGGCTCCGGTGTAAATCGCGCATGACAGGCTCGTTGCAATATCACTGAAAATTTTCGTGCGATAAAACAACATTGTACGTTGATTCTTGTCAGGTGCCAGCCGAGCACAGATAAAACATTAGTACGAATAGCGTTGATAAGCACCGCGCCCATCGTGTTATTCCAGCACACCGATACGACATGACGAATAAAATTTCGGACCTCGTTCTCGTGTTAATGCAATCCGGGAATTAGCTACCGTCGAAAACGGGCTCGATCTGTTCGATAAATCGAGTGGACCAACACTGTAATTATATTGCTCTGTATTGATCGTTAATTTCGCTGCTGCTAAGTCCGTTCAAGATTAATCATTTGCATAGATAATGGATGAGCATAGATCTAACAAACTTCGGCAGACTTTAAGTCTAATAACTCATCCTCATTAAATCTAGGGATTCAAATCAACTTCCCTAACATACCATCAGAAATTCCTAGAACATAGTACCTCTATTCTTCAATCTAATTTCTTCAAACTAAATTATACTAAAAGATATCTATCCAACAATTGCACAATCTTAACTAAAAATTAACACTAGATTTACTTGCATTTATTCTAAGTTTATTCTATTATTCCCAGAAGACTGATCGTCAACCGTTTAGATCTAGCAAATCAAGTTTTAAAACTATATTATTACGATCCATAATCACATAATCGAATTAATCAAAATCGACCCAAACGTTTACCAAATAATACTTATAAAATTCAATATCAGTCAAGCTGGCTAAGTCTAGTGTTAAAGATACTCATTCCACGCTCAATTCAAAGCAATCCGTGAACTCCGCTGCATGTAGCCTTCTACACAGATAAAGAACCAGTCCCCAGTCGCGTGAGCAAACACCGAAACCCGATTCTCCCAGTATCAGACCTTTCCTCCCATCAGCGAAGAGAAAAGAGAACGAAGAGAAGGCGGACAAACGCAGGAAAGAACGAAAGAGCATTGTTTCATCGCGGAAGAATTCCAGTCGCACGTAGCTCGGCCAGGCCAAGTCGAGGACGGAAGACAATCTCTCAGTGGCGCCACCACCTGTTTTGTGATTCATTAACTCACCGGCTTATCGGGATAAGGCAGACTTATCCGGGGCTCGAACCCGACACTGCGGCTAAACCCGATCTTATTCCAATGGCATCCCACCTATCCCCGTTTCAGTTTCAGTCCCGGTGGCTGCCGGTAGCTTCCACTTCCAGACCGCAGGTACCACCCCCCTGGCACCGGTGCCGTTCGGCACTCTTTACGAAATCACGGAGGACCTTTTCTACGGTACCGCGTTCAACGGGATCACGACGAGAACCCTCTTCCGTCGTCCCGAACCGAACGGTCCGATTAATTCGAGCCGCCGCGCGTTGATTAGTTAAGTGAATCGGGATTTCCGTCGATCCCGGCCACCTCGGAGCTGATCGCAACGCTGCCGGATAATGACGAGCCGATGGCTGCGAACGATACCGATTTATGGATTTGTTTGCTCGAGAACGGTTCTTCATTGCTCAGAATTGATTTCATTATCACTTTGAACTCTGTAGGCGCCAATATTGCACCAGTTATAATATTACATATTTTAATGAATCAAAGAAACTACCCTAAAATTATTAGATTTTTCACACATCCAAATTTTGCGCTAAGGAAAATAAAAGATCTAAGAAATAGCATTTTCTATTTTCGATAGGAATATTATAAAAATTAGTCGCAGTTGCTGATAGGTTACAAAACAACCTCGAGTGCTAAGGGTTAACACTAAGACGGGACAGAACGACCCATTCCTGGTTTCTTCTTTTTGAAATTATTAAGATGACAGATATTTCTCGAAGAGATTATTCAAGACACTAATTCAGTAAAGCGTATAATGAATTATCAATCAATTAATGTCTCGATGAATGCAATCTTGAGTTAAATTCAAAAGTGAATTTAACTGCTCGGTAGGTTTAGTGTTAAGTTGAATTGCTTGGGATGGTGATTAACTGGAGTGTACTTGTGATTTCCCTTCGAGTTAGTATCAAGGAATATCGTCTTCGCCCCGTCAAAGAATGTTAAGCATTTCTAGCGAGAAACTTCCGTGTGCAAAGGATTAATATCCAGTGTCGATTAGATCACTAATATCTAAAGATGTGCGAGTCAGTGATCAGACTTCTTTCCTCAGGCGTCAATCTATCCAAGAGCAAAGTCCATTGAGTATCGCGAGATACCACAGATACGCATTGCGATTTTTCTTTATAAGATTTCGCTTATCCCGCGGCCAAATCCGACTCTGATTTTCTCGCGGACGGAGAGGAACCCTCCGAAAATCTGTTATCCCTTTCGGTCAATGCCAATATCCCAATATTTTGTCAACAGGGTGGCATACGGCCGCCACCGGCTTTCCGATCGAGCCCCCTGGCAGTCATTAACTACCCCTTTATTATGGCGATACTTCTGCGATCGAGACTGGCAGATGCGCGCAAGTCAACCCTTGGTCGGCCACCTCTAATGGTGTTGACAAATTGCTCGGCTAGCCGCTAGGTCTCCCTTGGGACGCTGGAACTCTTCTGCGGCTGGCTCTCTTTCGAACGCGCGATCTTTCGGCTCGACGCGCCCCTTCAATAAGACGTTACACCCCAATTGTAATTCGTACTGACTAACTCGAACTAACCCCATCGGGAACAGTGACTGACGGTTTGTTTAGCGGATCATTGTTTAATTCGTTCACTCGTGTGTGTGTATATGAAAATTAACGTGGCAAAGTGCAGCATTTGAGAAAATTGAGGAAGTTTTAGAAATAGAGTATGTGAAATAGATAATGTTATCATTTACTGTAGACAGAATTAATTATAACAGATGATAGTAATATTCTTTACGTGCATTAGCTTAAAAAATAAGAAGGCAGATATTTTTACAGTTCAATGGAAAAATAGCAGGGTAAACGATATTGACATATCATAAAGTACAAATTGTGACCACTGAATGTTCAGCAGATCTCTTGAGTTTAATTATTGTTTGCCAAAAACAGTACGATTTTTCTGGAAGAACCGTGGACGTCGAATTTTATAGGCTACCGGTTTTCCAA